AAAGAAAAAGATGTAAAATATTACCCTTACCGTTTTCCACAGAAAACAGCTGTTAAATTAATGTAAGATTCCGAATTACTATCAGTGTTAAAGATATTTTTATGTGTCATTATTACTTTTTACACAGGATAACTGCAGATAAACATGGAGCCACATGCTTCTTGAAACTGGTGTGCATAAAGCTATTACTGGAAGTATCTCAATTTTATATTTCAGTATTACAGCAACCACAGTCCTAGTGTTTCCAAAGCTGTCTTGAGCTGTCAGACATTCTGACTTCTGAAGCAGGGTAGAGAAGGAATGAAAGAGAAATTCTAGAGCAGACAGAGCCTCATGATGTTAGGGAGGTGTTGCAGGGACAGGGCTGGAGTGCCAGATACTCGGACTTTTGTTTTACCACAGCTCTTTTATGGAGTTGTCCAAGACAAATGCAAAACTCATTTGACAAGATCATGTTTTGTACCTGCTAAAACAGGTACAGTAGCTGAAAACAATCATGATACCTGCATGTAATTGGAGTGCTGTGTTTTGGCCTTATGCTGCACAGTGGGATGAGAAGCATTCTTTTCTCCCTTATGGTAAATGAGGAAAAAAATAAAATTCATAGCTGAGATGCTTCACTGTATTACCCTAAGAAAAAGCTGTAATTGCAATCTGTCCATTCTATTCAGAATGAAATAAAAAGTGAAATACTTTAAACATTGATACCACAGTGATCTCAACACCTTCCAGGAGAGAAAATTTATCTAGCTATGCAAGAAAGCAAAACAAACTGCTCTGATGTGAATGCTCTAACACTCCTTCAACCCTATCACAAAGATCTACAGCAGGTGTTCGGTCAGGAGCTCCCTGGAAGATCACTTGACTTTTAAGAGAGTTGTCATCCTCTTTGCAAAAGTGAAACCAGGCTGTAGAAATAAAATTGATTTATATTATTAATAATTTTGATGATGACAACTTTTAAAGGTTGCCCATGCTGTGTTGTGAGAATTACATTGGCAATGCTGAACTCCAGGCAGTTAAAATTGTAATGGATTTGAAGTGACTGAATTAAAATAATAATGAGATCAAATCAACTGCCAGATTTATCAAAAGGTTATATATCTAAATATAGCTTGTTCTGAAGATACTTCCAACCATTGCACCTGTCAAACTAAACTGATAAAACCAGCTAGAATCAAAGCCAGGTGTTTTTGTCAGAAAAGGTAAAAAAAAAGATAAAATTAGAAAACATTAAAAAGTGGTTACCACAGTCAGCTTGTAAAGTCTTTATCTGAGCAAAACTAAGACATAAAATCATTACAGATTCTCTGTGTTGGGCTGTTGCACACAAACCTGGATGAGCTGACCTTCTCATCAGAATAACCCAACAGTCAGAGATGGCATGCAGGGCCAAACATGTTCAGTGGCCACGCAGACTAATGCCATGCATTTGTTTCCTATGGGTGTTCTACAAGATGCCTTTCTACTTTAGTCACATAGAATAAATATTGTTTAGGAATTCTGGTTACTTGGAAGGAGAGTTCTGGGAACTGATTTTGCAGTGTGGATGCAGAGAAATAATGCAGCACTACAAAAGGAATTCGTTAACAACAGACGAATAAAAGCCCTCGGGTGACAGATTCTGCATCAGTATATTCAGTGAAGAGCTAAAATTATGCTACTGCTTCCTAAAAGAATGTGTGCAGGGAATGAATTCTGTGGACCAGGAAGTGTATCACCTTTTAAGTCACACTTTAACAACAGGGCTAAGATTCAAAAATATGACCATGACTTATATTTGTCACTCGCAGTCACCTAATTAAAAGAACTATACTTGTTCATTCTCACACCCCATGTAATAGCTTAATTACTGTATTTGGTGTAATCAAAACCCACACATTTTTAAAGGATTGTTGAAATGCCGCTTAGGTGCATATCTCCATATGATATTGTTAACCAAGAGCTCTACTGTAGCGGGGCTTTTGTAGGAGTAAACCACAATTCATTGACACAGAGCTGTGTTTTCACATTTCATTGCAGGAAAGCATTGAGACAGTTGTGACTGTGGAATCAGTATGTTCAGGCAGAGCAAAAGATAACATAAGCTCAGTCTTTACAGCTGCAAGCTCCTGCTGAAATTAAAAGGAAACAAATCCTCTGTGCTGTAACCCCTTCCCCCCACCAGATGTACAGGTCTCTATGGAAAACTGCTGCTTCTAAACCTTCCTCTGCCTTTCTGCACCTTGTTTGCTACATGCACATTCCATTTTCTGTTGAAACAGCCAAAATGGACGAAAAGCTTAGCTCTCACATTAGCCTTAATAGAAGGTCACAGATGAAAGCAGTGCTGCCACTAAGAGGAAGCAGACACAAATAAGGCTCTCTAAACTGGTTCTCAAAATCCCATCTCTTTTTTCAAGCCAATGTACACCCTGCAGCTGTGCTCACCAGAGACTAACTGATGCTTTTAACTTTCTGCATAATAGAAAAGCTTTCGAGGAGCTTTTATTACAGCAGTTAGTTTTTCTATATCGAACCCCAACAATCACAAACAAGAGAGGGGAAAAATGACACTAAAAGGTACAAGTGGAGATTGTCCGTAAAGCTTTACAGAAGATGGCGGGCAGATGGTAGGGATTTGCAGTGACACAGCTGTTTTTAAAAATAAAGAGGTGGAAGAGAAGAGGCATGATTACAGCTACACATACATTCTAAGCCTGTTCACACAAGAATAAAAATTAGGTTAGCAGCAGGAAATTGAAGTTTGTGTATGATTTTGAATTGACATTTAGAAACTTTAAAAAATAATCAGCACACCTTCACGTTTCTTTTCCAATCATTAGTTTTCTATGTAACTATGAAGCAAAGGTGTCAACAGAAACATCAACCTACAATGAGATATTAAAAAGACAATCACAGAATTCTAGGAATGTCAAAACTACTTTGTGCCTCCAAATTAGCACACTTTTTTTTTTCTGTGAGCTTTACAATATAAAAAGACAATTCTATTAAATCATCAAACAACATAGATTATGTTACCTGTTTGACTTTCCTATGAAAGAATTTAATTTTTACTATAGTTCAGATGTCATTAGTAGAATGCACAGATAAACACTGCAAGGAAGAGTAAGATGTACGGGGGTTATTGCAGATTTGACAGCATGGGAGGTGGGGAAATGTCCAAATTCAATAGGGTCTCAAGCACTGAATATTGATTTTGAAATAACAAAATATTTTTTTAACGAAGCAGTAATTAAAAAACTTCAAAATGACACCCTGCATTCTTTTTTAATGCATAATCTCACATATGTCCCCTACAGCCACGTAGAACATTTATGGTAGGTAAACACTAAAGAGATTGTTAATGTACAGTGTAAAAGTCTGCCTTCTCCAGAGAATCCAATGAAGCTGTTTCTAGACAGCTTTGTTTACAAAATTAACTCTCTTCCAGATAATCAATTCCTAGATCTAAGAAATTTTATTTTAACAAGAGAGATTCCACTGATACCAAAAGGATAATCTTTTGATAATTCTTCATGGAGTCACCTTTTTCACACTGCATTAGTTCACTTTCTTCCCAGTATTAAAAAATGACTTGTCAGCGTAAACATACTTTTTTGCTACTTTAAAAAAAAAAAATATATAATTTTCTGAACACATGTGCCAGGATCCAACAAAAGAAAAAGGTTATCCAGCACCAATGCACTCAAAACTTCTTTATAGCCATCTCCAGAGCCACTGGTGCTGGCTTTTGCTACAGCTGGGTATTGAACTGAATGGGTGGCAGGTGAAACCTGTTACAAAAATCCAGCTATTCCACTACTTCTCCTTTCAGTGTCCAGGCTGCTCCCAATGCAAGGGCAACAGCAAAGAGATTAGTGTAGGTGTAGGTGCTGCCCAGCACACAAACAAACTCAACAACTGAAGACATTTAAATTAACTTTATTTATACCAGGTTTTCAAAATCAGAAATATTTCAAAGAAATTCATTACTCATAGACGGGTGCTACATTGATGATCTTTGATCCACCATTAGTGCCATGTTTTCACTCTACAATCATTAACTCGCCACCACAAACTAAGAGGAACTTACAGAAGTTTATAAAAAATAGGCAGACAATGAAAATTTGGTTTATACTGGAATTGGCATAAAAGAGTAAAGCTTATTATCGAATTGTGGCAACTGCTGTATTCCATCACTCAAGGAATCCTACAGCAAGAAAACACACTTCCACCTAGAGAAACACTTTGGGTTTTAACTGAACATACTCAAAATCCACTTCATGATGTGACTAGGAGCGATCCTTACACTCAAAATTTAAGGTTTGCATTTCAAAAATCGCCACAAGCATAAACCTCACCTACACACTCTAGTATTGGATTGATTTCCCTTTTTGGAGAAATCAAACCCATATGCCTATACCTCTTCCAGGATTTACCAAATCAAACAGAACTGCTGGCTTTGAAATATTTTTTTAGAAGAAAAATGCCATTTCTGCACAAGCTACTCTCATGAAAATTTTATTTAACATTTCTTTATCAGTAAAATAACTGAAGCCAAGATACCGAAAGTCACATCTACATGGAGATACACAGAAGATATTCAACTTAAGAGGATTTTCCTCCACTTCTCGATCACAATGAGGCCCTCACCATTTTGCATAATGACAGAAAACAACAGCTGACAAACCATTTTGGAACAGATGCCAGCTGTCTCTCATTTCTTTCATCTAATTCAAACAGTAACAGTTCTGTAGCACTTTATTGGTTTTTGTTTGGTTTTGTGTTCATTTTTGTTTGTTTGTTTTAAAGCCAAGCCATCTGAATTGGACCCCCTCATCAGTCAGTCAGTCATTTCAAGAACAAACTGAAGGCAGGCTGATCCTTTTGGATCCAAAACTTTAATTTGGTAGGAATCTTACATAAATACAATTTGTGCTTCAATTTCATAGCTACTTGGACTGAGTGAATATACACCTAAGCTAGTTAAAAAAAAAAACCAAAAACCAAAACAAAACAAACAAAAAAAATCCAACCTTTAGTATTCAACTGAGAAGCCACAGACGTTTTTCCAGACTGTTTGCAGCAGAGACAAACAATAAATTTAAACATAGTACTGCTTAAAAAAAGTTTACTGTCTAAAATGAAAATTCAAATGGTTTATTAAAACTTAACATTTTCCATTTTGGCTTTTTCTAAAGAAGAAATTTATTTGTTGTGAAAAATCAGTTAAAAGGTAATTTCATTTTACTGTACTGAACTTAAGTCATACATAAAGCACGAAGATCTTTACATTAAACTGGGCTTTGCACACAACATGAATGATCAGAAATAGACTATTTTGAGGAATAAAAAGTTAGGGGTTTCAGCTAGACAACATGCATACCATCAGTTACTTCTCACCCTTAAAAGGTACCTGAAAGGAGAGTTTTGTAGAACAAAACCAAAACTCATTAAAACACTTAGTAAGTCAGTGGTCATCATGCCTTTTTAGTTAAATGCTAGTAAAGTTTAGTCTACATAGAACAGCTAACACAATGAGGTGTGCAAGTCATAGGGATAGCCAGAAGCCTGAAACAGTCTTAAAGTTCTACAGGACAAGAGAGCCTAAACACAGCACCACTATGTTATTTAAATTATTAAAATAAAAAAAAAAAAAATTGGATTATCATCTATTCCTCATTGAAAAAGGGTTATGAACTGACCGTAAAGGGCTCATATTTAAAAGCTTCCCAGTTCTACTCTACCAACTTTTTAAAATAAGGTAATGATAAAGAGCATTCCTTCTAGCAGCATGTACAGTTCAGCTGCCAGTGGCTGCCTAACAGCACTCCTTTATGCATACCAGGAGAATCATGTCCAGTTTTGCCATTTGTGGATAACGATGACAAGATACAAAAGCATGTGTTTGCCATAAATAGCTCTGGCTAACGGAGGATTGCTCACACAGAGCAGATCAAATTCTCTATAAGGAGAGCATTATTTGGCTCTCAGCCAAAACACGTCCCCAGTGCAAGCCTCAGTAGTGGCAAACACTTTCCAGTTCTATTTACATAGAAGCTAACAAGTAGAACGGTTCATTTAGGCTATTTCTTGTACCAAGTCGGTCTTAACTACAACACTCGAGAAACAAAAAATTCCTTCCTGGTTTCATTCTCTGCACATAACTGGCATTACACATCACCTTACCAAAAAAGGAGTTGAGCTCGTGCAAGGTTTTACTCTGCCATGTAGAACTTTAAGAGCATTCAGGTATGAAACACACTGCATGGTTAATTACTTTGTATTTTTACATTTCTGACACACGTGTTTCATGGAAATAATGGTGTCCAGTAGTGGTAGCTTCTTTACTTGAACAGTAAACTAGGAGCAGGTCCTTTATCGAACGGTCAGAACAGAGCCACAAAGTATTGTAAAGCAGTGCCTAAATCAGTATTAAAAACTTGCATTATTTAAGATGAGATTAATGATTGTTTACCTTTACAATACTTTCCACAGAAGTTATTTGAAATATGCTTAAACACTTAAAAACGATATTTTCCAATGAAAACAAGGCAACATTCTGTAATAAGCCACAAGTTTTATTGCAACGTGGCCAATTTTTGATCTCAAAAAACAATGTTCCATTTAAGGCTCTTTTTAATACAGAAATTGCCACCATGACTGATGTTTTACAAAACTTTAGTGTTTCAAGACTCACATGGTAAACAGATAACTTCTACTCCTGTTCAGTAGTGTACATTCAATGGAAAACAAAAGGCATCGTAACAGCTACTTCATTTATAAAGATATGCATGTAACAGGAATGAAACTGAGGTACTACAATAATCTGATGACACAGTTACAGCAACTTAATTGGCATTCCTTTGGGGGGGGGGGCGGGTCAAACATATTACAAAAAAGTGCTTTAAATGCATAGTGTTGTGTGCTGCCATGTCACAAAAATAGGCTTGTCAAGGCAGGTGAGGTGTATGAATGCACAAGAGCCTCATGGAACTGCAATCAAGTGCAACTGTAAGTAATACTGTATAGAGTCTACCATCCGACCAGTGGACAATACTTTCAAGGCATTCAATTAGCTTACCCTTTGCTGTCTGCTAGACTATTTACATTAACTATCACATTCATTGTACATGTTGCAAGGAATGCCTGCAACGTCAGTTTTGGCTAAGAGTATGACGTGAAAGCATTCCTTGGATCCTACATAAAACTACCAGGATTAAACAGTCTAATGGCAATCACTGGTAGACTGCTTAACAATGACATCTCCTTCAGGGTGGTAGGGCAGGGACTTATTTTTTGAGGAGGGGAGGGGATAGGGAGACTAATACTATTCCAATTGAACGAGCTGCAGAAATGGAAGCTCCTTAGATCCAGATGGCACTTGTCTGTCTTTTTATAAGGGTTTTCCTTCAAGTGAAACTACCACGTTGCCTCCCAATTTCTCTCCAAGTGTTGAACGGTCCTTAATATCATCCAAACCATTTACTTGCCACTCATGTTTAATACCTGAAAGATAGACGGACAACAATGTACTTGTGAGAACCTCTACATCTAAATGCCATTATAATTAATGAGCAAAACATATTTTAGGTCAGTACCTGTAAATTTCTTTTTAATGGCATCTTTAGAGCTTGCGTAGATCATCTTGCTTTTTAAAGGTGCACTTTCAGGAGCCCTTTAAAAAAAAGAAGAAAACCACAACAAAACAGTTACTCAGTCATCCAGTGGTAGCTCCATACTATTCAATTTTAACAGCAAGCTTTGCTTTTACACACCAGAATATAAATACCAGGTCTTCTTTCTTAGATTCCTTTGTCTCATATGTGGCATCATACAAAGCATATCGGCAATCATTCAAAGGTAGCAACTTCACAAAGGCTGTATAGGGGTCCTCCACAGTATCTCCAATGTCACCAACCAATATCTGCTTTGATTCCTCTACAATTATTTGTTTTTTGTCATCACTTAAGCAGAAGAGAACAGCTTTCTTTCTTTTTTTAATCTCTTCTGGGGTTGAAGATTTCCTTACTTTCATGTCATTAAAAACCTTTATGACTTCATCATTCACTGTTACTCCAGAAGCCTGTAAAATGAGATCAAAGGAATAATTCAAACAGCAAAAATTAACACTCGCTAGAAAAGATGATAGCCCACAGTCCTGATAAAAGTCTGCCTGCCCCCATAAGAATAAAAATACTATGCTCAACCTGAACACACTACAAATTTAGGAGTACTTGCAGGATTGGAGCAGAAGATATAAAGAAGGTGTAAATTTTGTAGTTTCTTGTTGCAGATCTCAGCATCTTCAGCTGTGATCTGGATAGCAGTATCATACAAATAGGCACACAACTGTACTACTCAAGCAGTTTACCTTATCATGCACTTGGCTTATCTGAGGGGAGGGGATGAACAGGGATGGGGGTAGGAACTGAACATATGAGAGGAGTTTGTAATTTTGGGTTGGGATGAGAGGGCGGTCGTTCATTTGGGGAGTTGGTTTTTTTTTTTGTTTGTTTGTTTCTTTTAGTGGAACAAACGCTACAGCAGCAGCTCACATCCAGCACTGTCATGACTCTCATTTTGCTGGGTGAGGTAAGGCCCTACAAGCAACAGAAATGTTTTCTGCATTGTGTCAGCTTCAACACCACGCCTCAAGAACTCCCGAATTTTACTTCATGCTGGTGCGAGAGTATTGTTTGACTGCTCTTCCTTCATACAAAAAAAACTGTTAGAATTTTACAATCGTTACAATTGTACAGCTCCCCATAAGGCTCGGAAGCCGTTCTAAACAGGAGTCTAGAGCAGGAAGGAAACAAAAAACCGGCAGGGCAAACGGGGAGCTCAAGGCGAAAGGAAAGTAATTTAACAAACCCCACTGCGAGTGAGCGAGCGAGCTCAGCCCATCTGCAGCGCCCTTGCTCTCGGTCCAACAATTACATCTGCCGAGGCGGGCGCTGCCAGCGCAGGCTGCCCGGGGAGGGAAGGCAGGTGCGGATCGCAGGGAGCCGCCGGCTTTGTCCCCGGGGGCGCCGCCTGCCCCTCTCCCCGCTTTGTTCGCGGGGCCGGCCCCCGCCTGCGGGCACGGACGGGCGCCCCGCCGCCCCGCGCCCACACCCCCGCCCGGCCCCAGCGCTCCCGCCCGGCCGCCGCTCGGGCCGCCGCACCGGGCGGCCGGGGCTCGGCGGGAGGGGTGCGGGACCCCCTTCCCCGGGCCCGCCACCCCGCCCGGCCCCGCACCGCGGGGCACTCGCACACCGGGGCGGTGCCGCAGGGAGCGCTGCGCCGCCCGCCCGGCCCGCCCGCCGCTCCCCGGCCCCGCCGCGGCCCGCCCGCCGCCCGCCGCTGCCCCGCGGCCGCTCCCGCCGCCCCTTCCCCCCGCACCCGGCTAAAATTAGACTAAAATGGCCGCCGGAGGCCGCGCCGGGCCCAGCTCGCTCCGCTCAGCCCCGCTGGGCCCCCGGTCGGCCCGGCCGGGCCGCCCCCGCCGCCCTCCCCGCCCGCCGGGCCGCGCCGCGCCGCCCTTACCATGGCGCCAGGTCCCGGGGCGGCGGCGGCTGCCTGCGGTGCGGGGCTGCTGCACGCAGAGAGCGCTGCGCTGCGCTGGGGGCGAGGCGGGCGGGGACTCGGCCGGGCGGGGGATGAGCCGCGGCGGCCGGGGAGGGCCGGTCACATGGGCCGCGCCGCCACCACGTGCCGCCGCCGGGCCGCGCTGGGCCGGGCCGGGCTGGGCCGGCCCCCGCGGGGCAGGGCAGGGCAGGGCCCGCGAACGGTGCGGTCCGACTCGGCCCGGCCTGGCGCGGGCAGTGCCGCTGCTGCACCGCGGGGGCTCTGACGTGGGCCCCGCAGGCCCGGGCCTCCCCCTGGCCGGCCGCGGGCCTGCCCCGGCGGTGCGGACTGGATGCTGGGAGGGCAGTGCGGCCCCTCCGCCCGCCGCGGAGCTCGAGCAGCCGTGGGCGCGTCAGTCGGGCTCGGTGGTGACGCGGCCGCTCTGAGTCCCCGCTGCCCGCCCGGCGCTGGTCCCCGTGCCGAGGTGCCTTCTGCTGCTCTAAAGGCTCGGGCTTGGCGCGGCCCCTGTCCGCGGCCGGGGCTGTCAGGCTGCCCGCACACGCCCCGGAGCCGGCACGGGCGGCGTTGGGTCCCCGCCCGAAAAGGAGCGGTGGTGCTGTCGCGGTGCCCCCGCTCTGCAGGGAAAAGCCTGCCGACCTGGCGCTGGAACTGCCTCTTCCGCGGTCTGGGAAGCGCTGCTCAGACTGTGGGGCGGGACACGGCACGCAGGGCAGAAGGTGCAGCATTAAAAGATGGGAAGATAACCTACAGGAAAATAAGGACAACACTCCTGACAGTGTTTCTGTTGTTCATACTGAGCCAGACAGGGCCTCAGGCACAGGACAACGAACATGGAGCATTTTAGCTCTAGCCCATCCAAGTAGACAAGAGGATTGTCGGTCAAATGCAGCTTTTGGCTCCCTGAAATGGTGTGTCTGAAGACCAGGAGATCCTAAAGATGCAGGACCTCAAACAGATGTACCCGGGAGCCCCCATCTTGAATTGTGGCCAGTCAGCTGTGTCTCCCCAAAACCACTGAATTGCTACTAGTACTGTGGTGGAAACCAGCAAGCTAGTGTTTGTCAGCATGCATGTGTTGATACACCCTCACGTATATATATACACACATATATATTCATATATATGTGTGAGGGATGTGTGATTCCCCCCCTCCCTTTCTCCACTATTATACACTACCATGTTGACCAGATGAGCCACTATGTTTCCAATATCCTTTTTGAGTTACATCCTGCCTTTTTTGAATACAGAATTGTTCAAGACTGAATTACATTCCTCAGTATTCAAAATTTGCTCCATCAGCCTTGAAGTCACTAGTCTGGAACTTTATTTATCCCTCAGCTCCTTCTAGCCACACGTTCAGGACTCCCTGCTGCCCCTGAGCTGAAAACATCCAGTCTGTTAGACTCAAGTCTTGACTGCCCCATTCCTGGTCATCTGCTGCTCTGGCACAGTGTCATGGGCTGGAGTGGTCTTAAGTGGTTTCAGATCCTCAGGATGGCTTAATGTATGCTAAACCATGGCACTGCAGTGTGTCATGGCAGGCTGTGTGACACATGCCTTTCCAGTGTCCCAGACAGAGGTCCTTGCAGCCGTACGCAATGTCGGGAGGCAAACGGCAGCATGGAGTTCCTTGGCAAGCAGTTGTATCTGTTCAGTGTGCCGTACATGCCCCAGTGCCATTGACCACAGTCACTGCCATGGGCTCAGCAAACTTCTAATGTGTGCCCAAGACCATGAAACTTCTATGTGTAAGTGCCATAATCTCATGCCCTTGCAGTGCACCCTCAGCCACCCCCATGCGGGGCCTCTGCACTGCACATCCCAGGCTCATAAAGCCAAAGGTGGGGAGTTACCAGCTCCACAGTTGTACATCTGGGTAGATGCTCAAGGACAACAAATCCAAAATTGTGTGTGACTCAACCTCTGTCTTTAACACCATGGAAACTGAATAATGAGTCAGAAGTGCTTGCTGCTCTCTTTACCTCGCAAGGTGTATACCTGAGGCACCCAGGCACTAAAGGCTGCTGCTGCTGCACGTCGCTGACTGTACTTGGCAGTCATCAGAGTATAGAAGCAGCACGGGCTTTACTATGACTTTACAGAAATCTCTGAGAAAGAAACAAGTTTATCAGAATTGGAGAGCATTTCTCAGGGGTGAAAAACAGGTCACAGGTAAACAGAAAGGGGCTTTTCATTTTCAAGGAAATTAACTTTGGACTCCTTGTGACTGCAGTGAAGGAACTTGTGATAGAGCCCAGTGGTAACTTTGGAGGCCAGAGAAATGGTCAGTATCCAGCCAAAAGCAATAATGACCAAGCAAATCTTATTGCTGGAGCACACACAGACAAAGCTGGTTCCCACTTTGGCATCTCACTGCACTCAGGAAGCATCGCATTTCACTACCCTTGTGCCACACAACCTGCATCCCACCGGGCACCACTGAAATAGCCCAATGATTCAGAGAGCCCAGCAGCAGCACTAAAAGCTTTGTGAATGATACCCTCTGCAGAGCACATGCCTCTAAGGAAGACCTCCAAGCCTCCCCTCACCCTCTGTGGATGGAAGAAATTACTCACCATGAAGCAGAAGGCACTGTTTGTTTGGATTCAACTCCTGGATGCTCATTACTGAGAAATTATAATGGACTAGGTTGCCTTACGCATTGAAGTTCTCTGATATCACGGTCCTTTCCTTCAGTATGCTGTGCCTCGTCTTTTCTTCTCTGTCAGCCTTACTGAACTCAGCATTCCCATTTCAGACTCATTTCCCATGGAAGCAAGGCCTCTGCTTGGCCTCTCTCAATTGGGATAGTCCTTGCCTCTGTGACTTTTTAACTTGTTAGCTTATTTGAGTTAAATCTGACAGAAGAATAGAGGTCACAAAAGTAATTAAGATCCTTAATTAAGTAATTAAGTTTTATAAAATAATTCATTTGAGATAGAAGAAAGTGGGGCTGTATGTCTACCAGTTCAACTCAGGAACCTGTTGGAAGTTAGGAGACCTCAGAGCTGTTATGATGTAGTTAGATTATCTTCAGGAAGGGGACTACAAAGAGAAAGGAGAGAAACTTGCACAGGTGTACATTGAAATAAATTAAAATCTTAATACCATTCAGTTCAAAAAATCAAGCTGTTGAGAGAGAATTCCAAAGGAAACTGCATTTGATGAGATCTGTTGCTCAGAGCACTTCCTTTTCTGCTTCACTCTCCTGTGTACCCCTGGAAAATGTCTGGTTTCCCTCCAACAATTCTGTATTTTTAGTGGAAGTGCAAAGAATGCAAGATGAAGTCTAACTGCTTGTCATGTAAGAAAGTATTAGAAAAAAACCTCAGTGAAAGGCAAACACTGAGTTTTTCTGCTTTTCCTTATATTGCAGATACGTTCCTTTTAAAAAATTATACAGTAAATATGTTTGATTCCTAAGTGGTGGATCCTGGCACGATTTTGCTGCAAGTTAGCAATATTTGACAATGTGAGCAAATTCAGAAGCCCGCAGCAAGGGGCAGGATGCGTGTGCTGGTGCGAGGCTATCTATCAATCAACTTCTTAATGGCTTGGGCAGGACTGAGGGCGAGCGAGGTGTTGGCGGCTGCTCCCCGAGGAGTCGGGCCATGCCTGCTGGCCTGGCGGGGATGGGAGCGGGCCGTGCCCGTTGCGTCACCCTCCCGGCTGCCCGTGCCAGGAATTCCTGCGGCTGAGTCACGGTCCCGCCACGCTCGCAGCCCCAGCGCGCCAGCTGCTGTCCCTGCTGTGGGAGGGCTGCCTGCCTTCCCACCGCCTTCCAGCCACCACCCAGCGCTCCGGGAGGCTTCCCCTCCGACCCCTTGCTGCAGCACGGGGATGCGGTGGGAGAGCTGGGATGCGCTTCCTCAAGCCGCGATGCCGGCTGAGTGCTGGGATACTTCAGCTGGGTTAAGCAGCACCTCTCCCTGCCAAGCAGAGCTGCTTTTCAGCCCGTGCAGGGATGTGGCTGAAGAAAAGCCTTTTTCCCCACCCCCCTTGGAAAGCTCGTCAACCCTTCGCGTTCCCTGGACGAGCTGTCTTTATGGCTGTCCGCCAGAAGACCAGGCAGAAGGAGGCAGTAGGAAGCAGCAGCAGCGTAAGCCCAGTAGGGCCAGCGTGGATGCTCGAGGGAGGAGCAGCAACCACATGTTTTTCGGTGCAGGGTGGAATTCCCCCTCTCCTGCCGTGACTCTCAGTGCTGGTCACTCACGCGTGCCAGTGAATCATGGACAATAAAAGAGAGATTGAATTAAAATGTCATGTCTCGTAATGACATCATTCTGGGGATGGTATTTAAACATAGCAAAAAAGGAAATAAAGTTCCTCCTGTGAGAGAACCATGGAAACTAATGGCAGAAAAATGGTTAAACAGAACAAAAATTTCCCCTGAAGTCTAAAATACAGGGAAACGTCACTCAGTCTTATTAATAAAAACAGAACATAGAAACTGGCTGTACATAATTAGCGCATATTCAGCTTTCACAAAGATTTGCAGATTTGTAGCACTTGACAAAATAACTACTATTTACTCTGCTTGCCTTTGTAATCCCTTTATGCCCTGCAGAATTTGTTTTCCCCAGTTTTTTCCCAAGTCTCTTTTCTTGCTGCCTGTTGTTCACAGCTGAGATAAATTTACAGCATAACAGCAGGTAAGGAAGGATTTGTAAGATCATCCAGTGACTGACTGTATCAATTATTCAATTTAATCACCTTTTTTTTCAAACAACTTTCTCTTCCCTGGTAAAGACAGTTTTGGGGTTGTTTTGGTTTGGTTTTTTCCACTTCTACTTGTAGGGTTTTTATTCCAAGGTCCCAAAGCTCTTTATTAAAATTATTAATGAAGTATCCCTGCCTGATGATTAGTATTATTTATCCCATTTAATGGGTTGCCTGGGGTCACTCATAAAGGCTGTGGTGAGCCCAGGCACAGGACAGACAGGTTTGTATCCCCATCCCTTCCTCAAAACCCAGACCATCCCTCCTCCTAAGGAAGGAAAAGTAGGCAGAACAATTATTTTCTAGAAACCTCTGTTTCAAGCAAAC